CAAGATAAAATCACTAATAAACGGTTTTAATGTAAACCAACAAAAAAAAAGAAATTCGGGCAATTCCTGTGGAAATCGCTCACAACGTAGACATTATTCTATTCACCTTATTCAAACAATATTCAATAAAAAAAATACTTAATTATAAATAATAAAACAACAACAACGATTGAAATGATTTGAAAATAAGTCCAAAGAAACAAGGCATAACAACAATATCACATTTGAAATTGTGAAAGATCCTAACAGGATAAAAACTACTCCCTCTGTCCCTTTATTTTCGCCTCATTGTCATTTTTGGGTCCAACTTTGAAAACTTTAACTATAAATTACCATTAATCTATAAGATATAATATAAGATATAATATAGTCACATGAGATTTTGTTACACTAATTCCATTTTATATTTTATTAATATCGTATTTATATAGTTTTTACGTCTATGAAAATAAAGATATATATACGTTTTAAGCCGCTTCTTAGAGATCGTGAAAAGTTAAATGCGGCAATAAAGATAGGAACATAGGGAATAGAATGCAAGGAGTAGTACACAACTAACTTTAGTCACTTAAGACCCATTCCAGTGAAATTATTCTTAGGTTTAGTTAATAATATCATGTCCCTAATCTTACTTAGGCTCTGTTATTTTATGCTAAAGTGAGTAAACTGAACTAAAATAGACCAATAAACTAAACTAAGCGGAATAAAAAATAAGTCCAAAAGAACATGATGACTTAAAGAATGCAATTTCATTGAAGCTAATAAAAAAATTAAAGCAAGAAGAAAGTAAAAGAGAAAGGGTTGAAAATTCATAATGAATTGAATTCTTAGCGTTTAATTGTTAAATTTGGGAGTTCAAGGTGGAAGAAATGAGAAGAGAGAAAGGGTAGCCATTAATGGAGCTTAAACAATGGAAGAGAAGAAGAGAGGAAGAGAGAGAAAGTCAGTATATTATTTTGGTAGAATGAAAAGTTGCATCCAAAAATATTACGGTATTACATTATTTATATTCTACTAAACCTATACTAGTATACTACTATACTTATGCTACTAAAACTATACAAGTATACAAAACTAATTATACAAGTATTTTGTATACTCCAACATTAATTAAATCAGTGGTTTCTCCACAAAAGGCTCTTTAAAACTATTTTGCATTCTAATATATTTAACTCGTACACAACAACAAACCCATCTCAAACCTCTTCTTGTGGTTTTGTGCATGGTTTGCTTCACAAAACTCACCCTTTCTTTCAAATTCTTTTCTTGTGATCTTCTTTTTGCTTTGCTTTTGCATAGTTTAAGGTTTTCATTATACTCCGTATAAAATCAATCAGGAAACTTTCAGATTTCTACGTTAATTATTTTTGCAGCAGAGTGGTTTTAAAGCATTGAATCTCTGATCGTTTGGTTTGATTTTGATGTTTAAGTGTTGATGAATTGTGAGTAATGTTGTTAATGTTAATTGTTGTTCAATCTAGATAATTTTTTGAAACAAAAAATGTAAATACAGTCTTAATAAACGGAACCTCAGAATGAGAATCAGTCAGGAAAGAATGAAGAACATGAATTTAAGGAAAAAAAGTGGTTTTTGGAAGTCTACCCTGATGACTGTTAGTGGCTTTTATGCTGCTTATTCCTATTTGCTTGCTCATCTCCTTGATCCTGATTGCATTCTGACCATAATTAGTGGATTTATAATGTTGCCTTAAGGCCTGTCAGTTGACAAAAAACTTGCGATGTTGGTCTTATCAGCTTTGGGTCCTGGTTTTTCTTCTTGGGTGTTACTCTTCATTCTGTGCTGTGGCTGCTATTTATCTCTGTTTATTTTTGCTGCTGGTCAGACACCAAATCATGAATTGTGGATGTCCACTCTTGTAAAGGAGGTTTGGCTTGCTTTCTCAGGATTAGTTACAGGTTGTCAGATGCCCCCACTTGCTGTTAGCTCCTAGGATTAAAGCTCTGTACTTATTCTGCTCTTATGTCAAGAAATTATTTCTTGGATGTTCTGTGGTCGGCGATGATATGCAGAGGAAAAATGCAGGAGCTGCTACATTTAGTAGACCAGTGGTCCTCTATGCTTGCAACCTTGGAGCTGGTCTTGTTAGATCTTAGCTTTGCACTTACTCTCAAGCTATCTCTGATCTGGTTGGAATCTGATTAGAGTTGGATATGTGGTATGATTAGTTTGCCGCTGGACTGATTTGAAAGCTGCTTATGGTCAAAATTTTGATCTATTCTGCAGTCTTGTGCCTACGTTCTCCACTTCATGGTCGGCTTGGGTTCTGCTGTCCTCTGACTACCATTCTGTTTTGCCTGTTGTTTCTCTACAGTATAGCACACTTGAATCGAGGCATGCTGGACTGATTTGAAAGCTGCTTATGGTCAAAATTCTGATCTATTCTGCAGTCTTGTGCCCTGACTGTCTTCGTTCTCCGCTTCATGGTCGGCTTGGGTTCTGCTGTCCTCTGACTGCCATTCTGTTCTGCCTGTTGCTTCTCTATTGTATAGCACACTTCAAGCGAGGCATTCTTGTTAGAGACTACAGGTAGCCCACTTGCTCAATTCTTTATATGATACATCTTTGTTATTAAGCTGCATTAGAAAAACAGAATAATTTGTAGCAATTTTCTTTGTTTGTTACGTTTCAATAATTTACTAAATTGAAATAATTTTTTTTCTTACACATTTTCCCTCGTAATTACCTACTTCTATAAGTTTGTAAATATTTACCAAAATATTTACCTACACCTAAAGCAAAAATTCATACTCCGTAATTATCTGTATATCTACCTACTCCCATACTATTATCATTTTCTTAATAACTTCGTAAAACAAATTATATAGAAAGAGGGACTGAGGGAGTAGTATATAACATTAAATAGGATATAGTGGAGATACTAGCTTAAATCCCGTGCAATGCACGACTTTACCAAATATTACAAGATTTATAATAATATGTAGTTTAATTTTTTATTTTTTTATAAGTTTTTTTCTCTTTATAAAATACTCCCTCCGTTTTTTTTATAAATGTATCAGTTTGACTTTTGCACTATTCACATGTCATTGTTTGACTTAAGTTTTTTGCTATTATAAAATAAATAAGGCTATTATATGATATATCGTTAGATTCGTCACAATGTCTACTTTCATAATATAATTTTGTTACAATTTTTACTAATAAATAATTAAATATATTAATGGTCAAAATTACGTCTTAAATGTGCCAGTTGTCAAACTGATGCATTTAAAAAATAAAAACAAAGGGAGTATACAATAAGGCATTCATATTCTGTACATTATTTCAATAGAAATTTTAAGTTTGTACCCATACGTCTTATGTATATATTTTAATTTTAAATTTTAAATTATGATTTTGTTTAAAATAATAATGTATGGTTAATTATCACTAAGTAATAGTTAGACTGAATTTGGGAGTGAAAGATTGCATTACATTCAAATTGATTTTTTCTTAATATAATATCTTATTGAACAATATCTTATACAATAAAAGATATGAGAAAGATGTGAATATTTTTTTAGAAAGTGAATCAAAATTATATGATTTAGTGAATATGTTTTTAAGAAAGTGAATCACAGTTATATAAAGAAGTGAATATTTTTTGGAAGAAAGTGGATAAAAAAAAAAGAAAAAAGTTTTGGAGGAAAATAAACAACACCAAGAAGTGACACGTGTCATTCTTGCCGTCTGTTTTAGTATCATGTTATTGATTTGTGGCATTGATAACATTAAATCGGATATCCTTGGCTAATAAATATATAATTCTACTCGTATGTGAATGTAATTGATAAGCTACAGTAGTTTTATTTGGTGATTTTGAAATATCTTTCATTTCCTATTATACACGACATTTATTATTCGACATATTTACACCCTGAAAAGAACTATATAAGTTATATTACGTTTAAAGAAGACATATTCTCAATACATTATACGGAGTACTTTTTTTTTCTTTATATTTTTTAAAAATATATGCACCGAACTTACGTAAAATGGCTCAGCAATTTTCACATTTATCGGCTCTCATATTCCTCTTCGTATTAATACAAGGTATATTTGCCCCCTTCATTTCCTATCAATTTGTACTCCATACTATGCTCTACATATTGTATTATTGTGTACATATATTAGTATTAATCATATTATTGCACATTTTTGTTTATTTTTGTATTATAATAAATCATAATAATAAAATTATATGGCATGCATCATCAGTTTTCATGGTTTCTAATAATGCACTAGTTTGACATTATATATTTGTAATTGTGAATTTTGTAAAAACCCAAAAAATTATAAGAAAAAACTAATAATTTGAAAATTGTTAAATATGGAAGAGAAAATATAGAGAGATGAGGGAAATTTTGTTACATTCTGTATATTATTCCATCTAGTACGGGATATATATACATGTATATTACCTAGGGTTCTATCATAGGATAAGATCAAATACCCAACTCTAGAATGTTCTAGGTTGTACATGGGATAATAGTCATCCATATTTAGATATTTTATAACACTTCCCCTTGGATGACTATATATTAAATAAAACAATAATTAAAATTTACTAGAAAACCGGTACAAAAGAACACATTATAATGCGCATAAGATGCTGCTTCGTTAAAAACCTTACCAGGAAAACCCAGTGGGAAAAACCATGGTTAAGGAAAAAAGAGTGCAGCGCGCATTAACTCCCCCTCATAACTACATCACTTGAGATCTTTAAGACGACGCAATCCAATGTCGTAAGTTAACTTTTTGAATGTGGCTGTTGGGAGCGCCTTAGTAAATAAATCTGCCAAGTTTTCACTCGAGCGGATCTTAAGGACTTTTATATCGCCATTCTTATGGAGATCATGAGTGTAGAAGAATTTTGGTAAAATATGCTTTGTTCTATCATCTTTGATATACCCTTCCTTAAGCTGGGCGATGCATGCTGCATTATCCTCATATAAAGTTGTTGGAACTTCTTTCTCGGAGTTTATGCCTCAATCTTCTGTATATGTTGAATTACAGACCTTAACCATACACATTCATGACTAGCCTCATGGATTGCCAAAATTTCTGCATGGTTAGAAGAAGTAGCAGCAATTGTTTGTTTCATAGAACGCCAAAAAATAGAATTACCTCCACACATAAACACATATCCAGTTTGTGATCTAGCATTATGAGGATCAGACATGTACCTTGCATCTGCATGCAAAACCAATCAAACCTTCTTTGGATAAATTAGAGAAAAACAAACCCATATCTTTCGTACCTTGAAGGTAACGAAGTACATGCTTAACCCCATTCCAATGCCTTCAGGTGCGGCATGAGCTAAATCTTGCTAACAAATCTACTGAAAATGATATGTCGGGTCGTGTATGACTAGCAAGATACATTAATGCCCCTATTGCACTTAAATATGGTATTTCAGGACCAAGAATTTCCTCGTCATTCTCCCGAGGTCGGAAGGGATCTTTTTCTACATCAAGTGCTCTAACAACCATAGGGTTACTCAGTGGATATATTGTATCTAAAGAAAATCTTTTAAGAACCTTTTCTATGTATATTGACTGGTGCACAAGGATTCCATTCTTTAGGTGTTCAATTGTAACCCTAAGCAAAACTTAGTTTTTCCGAGATCTTTCATTTCAAATTCTTTCTTTAAGCACTCTACTGTCATTGAAATCTCTTCAGGAGTTCCAATAATATTTAAGTTATCAACATATACTGCAATTATGACATATCATGATACAAATCTCTTTATAAAAATACATGGGCATATAGGGTCATTCTTATACCCCTCTCTCAACAAATACTCACTGAGACGATTTTACCACATGCGCCCTGATTGTTTCAACCCATATAGAGATCTATTCAATTTGATTGAGTATTGTTATTGAGAACCTGAATTTACTGCTTTTGGCAGTTTAAATCCTTCTGGGAGTTTCATATAAATGTCATTATCCAGTGGGCCATATAAGTAAGTTGTGACTACATCCATCAAGCATAAATCAAGTCCTTCTCTTATTGCCAGACTGATTAGAAATCTAAAAGTAGTTGCATCCACCACAGGAGAGTATGTCTCCTCATAATCAATACCAGGTCTTTGTGAGAATCCTTGTGCAACTAATCGGGCCTTATATCTTACAATATCACCATTTTCATTTCTCTTTCGTACAAAGACCCAATATCTCACTGGTATCACACCTTCAGGTGTACAGACTACCACTAGTATATAACTAACCTTAAGTAACACCCAAAAAGTGTTACATAAAGTGGTAAAAGTGTTATTATAGACAATAGGTAACATTTTAGTGGGTGATACATCCGCCCATGTTACCTAAGGTCTTATGTAACACTTTGGGTTACGTATGGTAACACTTTTAGAAGTGTTACTATAAACCCTCTTATGTAACAATTTTTAATAGTATAAGTATCATTTTTAAAGTGTTACTTTTTATTTCTTATGTATCTTTAGTAACACTTTTAATCATATATTTACACTATCTGACATTGTGTAGCACTTTTACGAACTAATATAACACCTTGTTGATTATTAGGTAACACTTTTCAATCATCTTTTGACATATAGTATCACTATATTCGACATTATGTATCACTTTTTGCAAAGTAAGGTAGCACCTTGTTAATTTATTGGTAACATTTATTATTATTCACTAGTAGAAAGTGTAATGGGCACTAGTTCAAAACCGGCTTAGGGCTTCGGTTTTGAACCGGTGCCTTTTTGGGGGTTGCCCATGACAGAGGTTTTGGCCACCGGTTCAAGGGCCAAAATGGTGCCCTTAATGTCAATAAAGGGCACAAGTTCTTCCCTTGAACTGGTGCCCTTTATGCCTAGAAAAGAAAAAAAAAAGTAATATTGATAGAAAAACCATCATATATACATATATAAAACATAGATAATATTATTAATAAATGCTTGTAATATTACAATTACAACAAATAAATAAAAAATTACAATGTGCAAAACAATAGCAGCTCGAAAACAAAACATCAGCAGCTCGGAAACAGAACAGCAGCAACTCGGAAGCTGAACATCAGCAGCACATAAGCCGACCAACAGCAACAGGCAACACCAGCAGCAGTAGCATCAAGCAAGCATCAAAACCTAAGGACATATACTTGCTATGAAGAAGTGGGCAAGAATTTACTTCTCTCTGCATTAATTCAGCTATAAGGAAACAACTTAATACTACAGCTTATAAGTTGGAAGAATAGACAATATTACAGCTTATAACAACCCTTTCCTCTGATCATTCTAAAGTTTGGATCTGAATAACGCGAAGAAAAAAAAAATCTCTTCTTAAAAATAAACTTGTGGTACTGTTTTTGCCTTCAATAGAAACAGACTGAGATGATACTTGCTACACATGTTCACTAGAAGTGTAGACTTCATGAGTGGTTCTTAAGGTATATGTTTTCATATGCAAGCTACTTAATGACTTATAAAACAAGTAAAAAGATATGCCAATGATAACTGACATGTGTGTTGTGCTAATAATTGTCATCAAATTGAATGTTGAATAGCATACTTAGACATACAACTAAGTCATTGTCATGGGCGAGCATAACTTCATTTATAAATACACACCAGAAACAAGGGAGAGTATTAGAACCAAGTCCTATTCTGAAGTTCATTATGAGATGTTAAATTTACAATTTACCAGGCTTATAGTCAATAATCACAGAGAGAAGAATGCAGTGTACCTTAAAACTGTTGCGGACTATATATTGAGTTGTCAATCCCTTGAGCATGATAGATGATGCAGTACCAGCAACTATCTGAATTGTTCTGGACTTGATCGAACATTGTTCAATATTCAGAGTTCAGACTATAAAGTCCTACATAGTAAGACCAAGAGAATTGATTTGAGTATTTCATGGAATTACTGAAACCAAATCAGAACATATAAAAAAAGAAAATTTTCACCTTTGCAGTTATACAATATGGTGGACAGGTAAATTCCACAAGCATCACTCAAACGGTTTGCTGATATGTTTAGAACCTCTAATCGACTAAAAAGCACGGGGCACTCACATCACAAAATCTAAGAATATAAAAGAGAACGATATATAGAAAAATCAAATGTAAACTAAAAAGAAAAGACACTAGTACATAATTAACCTCAAGTAACACCCAATTGAAGGTTAGTGTGAATTTTGTAGGATGCTTTGAAACTCATTTAAATTTCTTCTTTGAAATTTTTAATGTCCACGATCAATTTTTTTTAATCTAATTGTGAAACAACACAATTCAGATTACCAAGTACTCCCATGGACATTATTGATTCATTTAAAAGTGCTAAATTTTGCTGTCTTCTATTCCAAAGCTATTTTATTTACCAGTCACTTATTTGCTGTTCCTATTCATTGTTGTAAGATTCAGGCTCTCTATAGTTCTTATAATTCAAGTCCTTCATAGAAATAATTCATTTTGGGATCTATTGTATCTTGCTTATTGGATTTTGAAAATGGCTTGGAAAGGCGAAAACAAGCAGTTCAGTTCCAAGGAAATTGCTGAAAATTCTGAAATTCAGGTGTGATAAAGATCCTTACATACAATGTGTAGTTCAGAGAAAACTTAGAGGTGCATAAGAGGATGCAAGCTATCGTTGAGCTTATTCAGCTACACTCTCCTGATGTTATCTATTTTCAAGTTTCTTTTTGTGGTTTTACAAATTTCATGAGATAACTGCTATTTATTTCTATGATATCTAGCATATGTAACTTGTTTGTCTTTGGCTTTTTAGTAGGTCACTCCCAATATCTATGACATTTTTCAAAAGTCTATGTGGTGGAAGAAATATCAGTGTTCTGCCACCTCTCAAAGAGCATCCTATGAGATGTACTAATGCATTCAGATGATTAATCTCAATTCCCCTTAAAGACCTCTTCACTACGAAACATTTTCACTTGAAAACAGTTTCACTTGACTTAGCTTGTTCTAATTATATTCTAAAAAAGAAATTGCATTTAGATCAGAGAATTCTACACGAATTGCATCAAAACAGTCTAACATTACAGTTGTCATGGTTAACTTCACTACTTGTATCCAACCAAAAACAACATCAGTAAATAAAAAAATAAAAAAAAAAATCCAAAATTGAATTTGAACCCAACAATATGTCCAACCATATTTATCTAATAATTTTAATTAAAACTTTGACCAATTGTCTCCCAAAATTCTCACTAATTCAAAATCAAGATCACCCACATTGGGGGGGGGGGGGGGTGTTGTGATGAATGACTTTCAAAATTTATTGATCAGAATAAACAAAAAATCATACTTCGTATAATTAGAAAGAATAAATCAATATAATATGATTGAAATTCAGGTTTCAATAAAATAAATCTTTAAATATCAGAGATAAAGGTACTGAAATAAATCAGAAGAGTTGGAGGTGAGCTATTGAAGAACTCCTTGGTTGATTAAAAAGAACTGATAATGAGACTAAAAGGCTGGTTCATTTCTACCTCAAATGCGGACAACTCTGCTCCACCCATAGTTATGTCCGCCATTGACAAACCTTTTTTAAAAACCTATAACAATTCCCTTAAGATGTTGTTGATTTCTGCTCGAAATGCGAGCATCTCTACCTCGATCACCAGGCCCATTGCTATATATGGCCCCCACACTGACAAAACAATAAAAACCCAAGAAGTTTCGCCTTAGAGAAGAAATAAACGTATAAGAGAAATAAATTACTACAATTTGGAATTAATTAACTCAATCAAATGCCTATTTAAAACAACTATTTTCATCAAAACCATCATATACCCAAGAATAGAACAACAATTCACAAAATTGTAATAGAAAGAAGAAAATTCGAAGAAAAAGGGTGAAATTCAAGTAATAGCGGAAATCAGAATGAATAACAAAACACTAATCGATAATCAAAATTACTTAATCTTTAAAAACCCTAAAATTTTACCCCTGCATTGAAATAAGCACCAAAAACACCCGAGATTGAAAATATTGACAATGCGAAATCAAATATCAAAGAAAACTCACAGCTTTCTATTGTTAAAAGTGGCGTGCTTTCTGTAGTTGACGCCGCTCTTTTGTTGGTCCATCTCGCTGGTGCTATTGACTGTGACGTGGGTCCTCCAGCTGCTCCGTCCTCTTCCTTCGCAGCTTGTTTTGCCTCACCTTAGAGGAGAGAGAAGAAGACATTAAGTAAAAAGGGAAAACTGAAACCAAAACAGAGAAAAAAGAAAAAGAAAGGACAAAAATGTCATTTGTTACTAGGGGTGATATAGAAATAAGGTTAGTGACTTAGTGTTACCATATTTTTCAAAAAAAAAAAAAAAAAAAAAAAAAAAAGTTTAGTGTTACCCTAAAATGTTACCTATTTCAAAAGTGTTACTTTATAATGTTACTTATGATAAAAGTGTTACATTGAGTGTTACATTCTAAAAAAATGTTACCAAAGTGCTACTTATAAATCTAATAATTTTGCATTTCAAAAAGTGTTACTAAAACGTATTACATAAACTCAATTATGTACTAGTGTACAGGTCCGAATACTTCTCTTTTTTCGAGAGATTTCAATTCAGTTTCAATTGCTTCTTTCCATTTTGGCCAATCGCTTCTTTGTCAACATTCATCAATGGATTTTGGCTCATGATCCTCGTCATCATTCATGACATCTAATGCCACATTGCATGCAAAAACATCATCGACGTCGATTTGGTTTAGGTTCCATGTAATTCCAGACATGTTAAATTTGTTGAAATTTCTTCATTGTCAGGTACCTGAATTTCCATCATGTCTAAGGTCTTTTCTGGAGATCCTTCAAAATTAATAGCTTCCTCGATCTGGCCATTATCAATTGTTGCTCCTTTTCTTTTCCAGGGATTTTTATCTTTGAAACCGATGGGTCTACCACGCTTCAGGCGTGCTTTAGAATCATTTGCAACTTGGGCTTGTCCTTCTGGGACATCAATCTTAATCGGAGCATTTTCAGCTGGTATATGTGACTTTGTCACTTTCTTTGGGCCAGTAAATGAGTCTGGCAATTGATTTGCTAAGTTTTGTAAATGAATTATCTTTTGGACTTCCAATTCACATTGTTTAGTACGAGGATCTAAGTGAGATAATGAAAATTCATTACTAATTTCCTTTTCCAGCTGTTTGTTTTCTCCCCCTAATGTTGGAAAAACTGATTTATCAAAATGGCAGTCTGCAAAACGAGTCGTAAATAAATCTCCTGTCATTGGCTCTAAGTACTTAATTATCGATGGAGATTCATATACAACATATATCTCTAGTCTTCTTTAAGGTCCCATTTTAGTGTGTTGTGGTGGAGCAATTGAAACATATATATACTGCACATCCAAATATTCTCAAATGGGATATATTTGGTTCCTAACCAAAAACCAATTGTGATGGGGAGAACTTTTGATGACTTGTTGGCCTGATGCGAATTAGTGCTGTTGCATGTAATATAGCATGCCCCCAAGCAGAAATTGGGAGCTTAGATTTCATAAGTAATGGTCTAGCAATCAATTGTAAACGTTTAATTAACTATTCCGCAAGACCATTTTGTGTGTAAACATGTGCTACAGGATGTTCAACACTAATCCCAATTGACATGAAATACTCATTAAAGGCCTGGGATGTGAATTCACCAGCGTTATCAAGACGAATAGTCTTAATCGAGCAAGTAGTCTCGCAAACGCCAGGTTGCGAGTTGATAACAATGATACGTGTGACCATCTAGTTGATGCATCTATTAAAACCATGAAATATCTAAATGGTCCACACGGGGGATGAATTGGTCCACATATATCCCCTTGTATACGTTCTAGAAAAGTAATTGATTTGAAATTTATTTTAGCTGGTGATGGCCGGAGTATTAACTTGCCTATTGAGCAAGCAGCACATGAAAAATTATTATGAAGAATCTACTAGCTCTTCAATGAGTGTCCACATGAATTTTCGATTATTTTTCGCATTATTATTGAACCAGGATGGCCTAACTGGTCATGCCAAATTTTGAAGTCATCATTAAACTTCTGGTTTACTACAGCATGTGATTCAATTGTATTGATTTTTGTATAGTACAAACCAGTGGAGAATGTAGGTAATTTCTCCATAATAAGTTTATTGCCTTGACTTATACTCGTGATTTGAAGGAATTCATTATTTCCTTCACTAACTGTCTCAATATGGTATCCATTTTTGTCGAATATCGTTAAAACTTAGCAAATTTCTTTGAGACATAGGGGAGTATAATGCATCAATAATTTCCAATTTTGTTCCCCTTGTTAATAAAACATTTGTTCTTCCGAAGCCTTCTATAATCTTTGTACTGCCTGATATAGTACTCACACTAATTTCTTTCATCATCAATTGCGAAAAATATTTCTTATTCTTAAGTATGGTGTGAGTGGTAGCACTATCAACTAGACATAAATCTTCACCATTGGTTGATGATTGAGCTCCAAAGGGATTCATATTTTAATAGAATTAAAGGATCTAAAATAAGATTCACAAAATCAAATAAAATAACTTAAATTAATAAATGACTAATAATGTTAATAATGAAATATCCGAAAACATAAATTGTCCAAAAACATAAAAGTGTCCAAATCAAATGTCCCATAAAGTATAAAATCATAGTACTACGATAAAATTCTATAATAAAATAAATGCAAGCTAATAGAGTTTATTCGCCAATGGATCATAATTTATTCAATTATTTTTTTCAGGATTAGAAAAGAAATCAGCCGCTTCTAGGTGAGTTGTATCACCGTAGTCAAAATCACCTTCGCCATCCTCATACACTAAATTTGTTTCCACTTTCTTTCCTTTCTGTTTGATTGATTGTTGATAAAGGTCTACAAGATGTTTTGGTGTGCGACACACACGAGACCAATGGCCTTTTACCCCATAACGGTAGCATATATTTTCATTTTTATCCTTCTCATTCTTATTTCCATTTTTATTGTCCCACTTCTAGTGAAAGTATGAGTTCCTAAAATGACCACCTTGACCACGACCATATCCACGTCCGCGGTCGCGGCCACAACCTCGACCACTGCCTCGACCACGACTGCTGGCGTGATCTCTAATCTTTTGTCATTCCCACTATGGGATGTCGTATTCGCTTCAGGGAATGGAGTAGAGCCAGTTGGGCGTGATTCATGATTTTTCATTAATAGTTCATTATTTTGCTCAACCACAAGGAGACAAGATATCAATTCAGAATATTTTGTAAAACCCTTTTCATGTTATTGTGTCTGCATGACAACATTGTTTGCATGAAAAGTAGAGTATGTTTTTTCTAACATTTCTGCATCCGTGATTTTCTCTCCACATAATTACAATTGTGATGTAATTCTAAACATGGCTGAGTTGTATTCACTCACAGACTTAAAGTCTTGTAATCTTAAATGTAACCAATCATTACGAGCTTTTGGTAATATCACTGTTTTCTGGTGGTCATACCTTTCCTTTAGATTACTCCAAAGGATTTGTGGGTCTTTAATAGTCAAGTACTCAGTCTTAAGGCCTTCATGAAGGTGATGGAGAAGGAATATCATAGCTTTAGCCTTGTCTTGGTTGTTGCTGTATTATTTCCTTTTATAGTGTTACTAAGACCTTTTGCATCTAGATGTATTTCGTCATCTAACACCCAAGACAGATAGTTGTTTCCCAGTAATATCAAGAGCAACAAATTCGAGTTTTGCATGGTTTGACATGATTCACTGATATATTAAACAATATTATAAATTAGGAAGTATGAAGGAATTATAAATATGGTACGGTATAACAAAATAGGCGTAAAAGATCTCAAATTTTGCAATTTAATATTTGACATTATATATATATATATATTAAACATTATCAAGAATATAGCTATTGTATTCTATGTTGAGGAGGTTATTGTTCACAACTAAGTCAACAAACATGTAAACTCAACTAATATTACGTAGGTAGTATTATTAATCTAGTTGCCTAATTTATCAGAATAGAACATGACAAGCATTGTGAATATTTGACTTTGACGTGACCTAATAAAGTAGTATTACAGGCCCTATTTCATTACTATATCAAATTTTAATACCAAGCTAAAATTCATGATTAGTGTTAGCTACTGTTACGGTATATGGCTCAAAATAATGGTTTGTAGTGATAATTCAAGGTATATGTAACGAGTCATTAATTAAAACAGAGAACAACCGCATACTCCTTAATGATACAATTATAAACTTTAAAACTTATTAATAGAATAGTAAGATCAATAAGAGTTTGACTAGTTTGTTAATTCATTAATAAAGCAAACCCAAGATTAATGTGTAATTAATAAGAATAAGGATTTAATAGTAAATCTTTAATCAAAGAATAAGTGAACAATTGTAAATTAAAGGATTTAATTTGTAATATGATTGGGCCCAACAACGTAAAGCATTGACAGAGAATATAATAGATTTTACAAAAGATAATTATGGGTTAATCGATGAAAGATATGTAACAAAATATATAGTAATCACATGCAAGTACAGTGGAATTCAAATACATACATGCATGACGACACTTGGTATATGATCAGATTAATGGAATTGTAAAGTAAATGAAGGGACAAATAGCAATGAATGATCAAAAGTAAATCCTATGAGTATGAGGTTATGACGCAAGCATACAGTGGATTAAGGGTTAAACAAACCACCAAATAACAATATATAAGGCCAATAATTATTTCATTTATTTGATCAATCACAAAAGTAAGCGACGTAGTTCAAAATCATAAATTTAATCAATTCAATTAACCAAATAAATAATATACTTTCTAGCTTGCATACAATATCTACACCAATTGGAGAAAATTAATTAATAACAAAACATGGAGTATATGTGTACCTCTCGTTGGTTTTCTGATCTTGATTATAGTAGTTAATCGTATTGTGTGCTCAATTAGCCAGAGAGTGGTGCTGATAACGTGTTAAATATGGAGAGAAAATATAGAGAGATGAGGGAAATTTTGTCACGTTCTGTATATAATTCCATCTAGTATATTATCTAGGGTTTTATCATCGAATAAAATCAAATACCCAACTCTAGAATGTTCTAAATTGTACATGGGATAAAAGTCATCCATATTTAGATATTTCATAACAAAAATATGTTTTGAAACGATTTTTGAACAATTCGCTTGACTTTATTTTCATCTAATACACTGATGAGAATTTTTAAAGTCAAAGTTTTTGAAAATTTGACCCTCAAAAGAGAATCAATGTGTATATTTAGAAACAGAGGTATAATTTAATTTCGTTTTTCTTGCAGAAAAAGTTTGAGAGTAATTAGATGTTTGAGAAGTTTAGGGCTAAGATTCTGAGAACATAATGAGTTTTCACTTAAAAATTCTTTTTTTTACCAATCCTCAAAACTATTTTGTCACTTCCAACCATTTACGACTTTTTTTTTCTTTTTTTTCCCTCAAAAGGAACTAAACAAACCATATACAGCTTAATTAAATTACACAACAATCCCTCTTTTTCTAGATAAATGCATCACTTAACTTTGTGCACTATTCGTATTAAGGCTGAGCAAAATTATCCCGAAATTCGAAAATCTGAATCATAACCAAACCGAAAATTAGGGTAACCGTTTCGATAACCATAACGATTCGAGTATCCGGTTCGATTATTTGTTATCAGGTACGGTTATTGGGTATCATTTTAAAATTAACGGTTACTCGATCCGATCCGATAAGTAATTTTTTCTTTTTTTTTTCCTACTTAAATCTATTTATCCAAAATCTAAACTCTTACTTTACTTCATAATCACTTCATAATTTAAAGGCTAAATTAGAAAATAACACCTATAAAAAGACCCGATTTTGATTATAACACCAAAACATTTCGATATTTTATTATAACACCACTTAAAATTCCAAAATTTTGGTTTCACCACCCACTAACAGATTTTTGGATGGAAAGTGTTAGTGGGGCCCACTAGGGACACGTGTCAATAAGGTATTGGCTTAAAAAAAAGATAAATAAAAATAAAAAGTAAAATTAAAAAAAAAAAGAAAAACCCCTAAATCATAACCCAGCCACCAGCCCCACCACCGACGGTCGTCACTCCACCGTCGGAGACCCCCACTGCCGCCGGATCGGAACACCTTCCTTCACCGGCGCAACATCACCACCACCTTCGCCCCATCACCACATCAACAACCCCATCACCACAACTGCCGAAGCGTCGAAAT